AATTTCAGTACCTAATAATATGTGTGAAGACGTTATAATTAATCACTCTTTAAAAAATTTAAAATAAAAAAATGTCGGGCACTAAATTAAGATGTGTTCTATCTGCATGCCAACTTTCAACCTTCATTATTAAATTTTAACAAAGTTATCATGTCACAATTATTGCCCATTGTTGTAAAATCCCTAAAGTGCCCAGATCACCCTCAGGAAAGTCATCAATTTAGATAGAGTGGACGATTTTAAATACTTTGCAATATTTTTTAAGATTTGATCTTTTTGAATTTTGGTCCTTAAAGATTGGCTTTTGTGTATGACTGTGATGTGATTGGGTCTAAACCAATTTGACAATTGACAATTCTGACAATGACTGGAATGGTTTAAACATAGGTATATGACATTTTTACAAATGAAGACCATGTTTTATTTTGTTCATTTTTACAAAGACCTGAAGAGATGTCAAGTTATTTTGATCTACATTTCGTGCAAAACTAAAGTATTGTCACTACGTTACTGTTTTATTCGGTCGGTCTTTTGTGATACTGAGAACTTTACACAAGTTCTAACAACGGAACATGCGCTTGAAATGTACCACAGAGATTAGCATCTTCATCAGGTCTTGAAATTTCACTATAGGTTATTTTCTAAATTTTGTCTTTGATACACCTGTAGATGCCCGTTCATATAAAGTGCCTGCTATATGTCCATATTTCGTCCCCTGAAATTTCGTTCGGCCTTCGCCGCCGTGCAATTAAACTGTTTAGCGACATACGTACATATTGTACCATCGTTAGTATGTTAAACATTCAAAATGTGTTTGTGGAATTTATTTATGTAACAATGGTTTGAAAATTACATAAAAAATAGTTGCATTTGTTTATTATCATGTAATAACTAAATTTATCTGTGTAAAATAAAAGTATTTTAATTAAACTATACATCTTGTTGCATTCAATTTAAGCGCAATTTATATATAAGTTTAACTTTATATTTTTTCTTATATAAAGTTTCCATTTAGTGGGCATAAATCAGTTGATTTTGAATGGAGGAAATTAAATTTAATGCAAGATATTTACTCAAAAGGGAACCAATAGCGCGAATGATTGGTTGAAATAAAAAAGTATTTTTAGTGTTATTTACATTTCACCTTCTCCCGAGTCCCCCAGACAGATATATTCCGCGCGTACAATCATTGTACAATCGAATATGCCCGTTTGCTTATAAGTGTTTGGAAAAAGATATGCGTGCGAAAAAAAATAGAATAAAAACTGTATGTAAGTGACCACTAAAGATGCAATTTCAAACAAACCGAGAACCGTAAATACATCTCGATAAATGTTTACAACACAGTATGAAATATACAGAGGTGAGTTACATTTATTGATGATTTAGCATCGTGGATTTTGAACTAAACCATAATTTTCAAGTTTTATGAGTTATGATGTATAGTGAAATGCCCGAAAGGCAGCACATTTTTTGTTCATTTTAATTTATATTTTAAAATGTCATTTCCGCATTCGTTTAAGCCCGGTTTCCATAAGACTACCGAAACGAACGAGGCCATCAAAGCGATTCATGATCTCAGTAGCTACTTTATTTGTTAATGATGCTGGTAACTTCGTGTATGGAATGGTACAAACGTTTTGAATGGACATCGTATAACGGCATATGAACGTATGAACATTAACATTGGAGTGATTGGACTAAAAACGGACTGTATTCTACGAAAATGGAAAACAAGCGAGTGGAAAAACACAATCAATGTCTTGTGGTTTGAAAGTTGAGTAGGTAAGTGTTAAAATTAATTTTCATAAGTAACTGCATGAGATCGTCAAAATGGTTCTGATGGTCTATTTTTATAATTTGAACCATAATCATGAAAAACACCCAAATTGAAAACAATGTCAATAAAAGATGTCACTTGCTGTGAGAAAATAGCTGGCTTTCACTCGCTACTTTTCCTATTTTATTTAACGTTTATAAGGAAAGTTGCAATGCTGCAAGTATGGTTCATCAAATTCCTAAGATAAAATGTTGCAACATATTTCAACGATATACACGCAAAAACTGCTCGGTGAAAAAAGGAAGAGACCGACTAAGTCGCCTGGATCAGACTGACCAGAACAACGCTTCGAAGTCAGGTATTAGAAATTTGATCTTTTTTAATGCATTTAAATTCTGTTTTTGTTCATTCATTATGCTGACATTTATAACGTGTTTTTTTATAGAGTAGCTATGTCTGTTGGCCTACTAACTTTGCAATGAATGACGACCAAGTCCGGCAGAAGCACCAAAAGGCGAGCGTCCTTATTGAAAGATTCACACTTGCGACTTTTAATATGCATAATGTTTAGCAGTATAAAGCATTTTCAAATTCAACATTTAAAAAACTCCGTAAAACTAAATTTTCACAATTGTTAAAATTTCTGACAAAACACACGAGTGAAAGCCAGCTATTAATGAAGGTCTTAATGAAGCAAAGTAATAATTTTGAATCGAACAAAGTCTAGTATACATCAAAAATGATTTTTATGCAAGTCATGACATCACTTTGGTTATTTCATTTTTCATTGTTGTTGAATGGTGAATGGTCAGGTCGTACGCACTGAATATTTTTTCATATGATTTGTGTATAGCTACTAATAGTTTTCATTTTTCTTCTGTCTATTAAAATTTTTGTTAACACTCTGCGCTCTTTCATTTTTCGTTCTCTACAAAAGTTTTCGTTTCTTTTGTTCGAACACAAAATATTTGCTGTGACAATATGGTAGTCAGCCGCTTTTTTGTCCCTCTGAAAATTGTGCGCTACGCAATCTGATTACGCTGCATGTTAAAATAGATCATCGGGATCATTAAAAACAACAAACATATGAGACATGTTAAATCTACAAAAATTTAAGGAAATTTTTCTAAATTTTGATCTTCTCTTATTGGAGGGTTTTTTAACGGATCCACCGGTTTTTCCTTCCATTTCGTTTTGTTTTGGAAAAAAAAACAGTGTCCACATTTAGGGCCAAGCAAAGCTTTTTGTCAGAACACTATTTATTGATGCTATTATGAATATTCACGTTTGTTTTCTTCATTTCATGGCCTTTGGCTATATCTCCCAAAACACTGCGTTTATTGAATACATGGCATACATTTTAAGAAAATAGGTACGCAATGCGTACATGTTGTTAGCCTGCAAGTATATAGCTACTAAATGAAGTAGACTTAATCAACATAGTTAAAATAAAATTATATATTTAATATTATTTATGTCACACTTTTTTAAGATTTGAAAATGCTTTTAGTTATATGACCAAGCAATTTCGTAACCCTGGAATCCGATACTTTACTACCAAGCAGAGTTTCGTGTTGTGATTCAGTTTTCATGCAGAGAACTACCTATGATATATAGTGATGGTCCTTTATCACAGGTGATGCAAAACGCGAAATGATTTGTCAAAAACGTGGTATCAAGCAATCACAAAACCATGTAATCTGATCATGAAAACGCAGGAAATAGCGTTTTCGACCCCTCTTTTCTCAATTTTTCAATTTTTCTCGGGAGATCGTGTCCGGCGTGAGATTGTAGCTCAAGCCTGCATCTGCCCCAATGAAAGCCTATAAAACGATAGAAATCTATAGTTTTTTCGTGTCTTACTGGGTGAATCTTTTGTTGACAAAAGGAACAGACATTAGTAAAACTGTCATTTTTTCCAGGGGAAGTTGACTTTATAATTTATTTTGTGACTTCTTATGAAGTAAAAGATCATCAAATATATGAACACATAATACTACCTTTTATCTATTTAATATTATATTCATATTATTTTGAAATATATCGTAATTAATTTATTCGGTTACATTCAGACACAAATACATGTCATACAGACACGACGAATCTGTGTCATCATTAATATTTACACAATAAAAGCTCATGATTAACTTAATATTTTACAAAAAAAGTGAGGTACACACTACTAAAATTTATGTGTCCCAGGGGTAGAAATCTCAGTGGGGGCGAGGGGCTGCTGCTTCCCCATTTTTGTAGAAAATTTGAAACAACTGAATGTACTGAAATTCATAAAATTAATACTGGAGTAGGGGAGAGTGGACAATTCCACTTGGCAATTCATGCATAAACCTGATTATTTATAATCTATTTTCTTTGTATGTGCTGTTAGTTGCCAGAGAGCTATGACTGCTTCCATCGATTCTAATATTCAGTGAATCGGTCTTTGAAAACAGATAATAAAATGATTTATGAAATTTTGTTGATAATAAAAGAATTTTTGAGGTTTATCAAGGAATTCTGAAAAAGTTGATGGTTACAAAGTTGTCGTGAAATTCTTTATCACTGTAGTGAAATTTGAGCTCCTTATCATGTGACAACTATAATAGAAGGTATGCAGAAATCTTTCAAAATCAGTACATGGTAGTACAATGAAATAAATCACAAATCGGCTCAAGTCCGTTCGGCAGGATACATGTGACATGGATGGATTTACATGGGAGTGAATGGGGTACTACACCCCAAACACTAGATTTCACCCCCTAACTAAATTGTTCCCCCCTATAATGAACATTTTAATTATCACTCCCCAATTTTTAGTGAAACATATCAGCAGTATGGTTGAGTTTTCAGGGCAAAATTTCTACTTTCTGCACAACCTTTGATGGCTACACTACTAGACCACCATAAATTATAGACCCTTACAATGTCTTACATCACTTCCTTACCAGCACCCCCCAAAAAAATTTTTTTAGCAGCACCCCTGTAAAGAATATGAAAATTTGTCCTTAGAGAAGTCAAACTTAAATGTATTTTCTTAATAGGTAGCATGGTCTATGTAAGTCTGAAATTAATTGGAGAAAGTAAGCATAGAACTCATTATTTTGGGGGCTCCTAACAGCCCCTGTCTGGTTCAACTGCTCTTTAAATTACATGTTTCACTTGTAAATAAATCTACTTTATTCATATTTTTAGGTGTTTTGAAACATTTTCAGAGAGGTTAGTCAACATTAATGATCATCTCATGTCTCAAGTTATTATGCTGCAACTAGGATTTGTAGTTAATGAAAAAATGTTCTGAACAGATATTATTATGGTGCAGAATCTTGAAGCTGTCTATTCTTTGGTGCATTAAAGCAATTATTGTTTGTAATTTTATTCAAATTCAGATGCAAACATAACTATAAGCTTGTGATCATTTGTTCAAATTATTTCTCATTTCAGGACTTAAGTCAAAGTTGAGTGGACCAAAACCAATTAAAACTCACTGACAATTGTAAGCATGGCTTTACTTGGTGAGTGCTCATTGCATATTGCTCAAAATTATGAAGTGCAAAATTAAGGTACTCAAAATGCTTAAATTCAACCTTTGTGCACTTGACCACCATTTTTGCTCAAGATAACCTTGATTTGAAAATTTTTCTTTTGGTGTGGTTTCTCTTTTAAAATTTGTGGTAGCCACAATCTGCAGGTAAGCATATGGGAACATGATGTTTGCCTTAAAATGTTACCTTAGAGAGCATTTCATTGCATATCAGCATTTCAATCAAGCTTGAGTTGGCAAGCATGTCTGCCATGCTTCTAAACCATTTGATATTATCTATGAAACAATATTTATCCTCCACACCACCTTCAACATGAGAATGTAGAAATCTTTTCTATTAATTTTATCAACTGTAGCACCAATTTTCAAATATAGAAGCCCTAGTACCTCTGGTCTTGGGCAAACCATGAGGTTTAAAAATGACCATACCTTTTCTTTTATTATAGGATCTGTATTGTATGAGTTATTAGCAGAAAATACACATCGAAAAACTTCGCTCTTTTCACATGCAACCATAAACTGATAAAGAATATTCTAATACGTACCATAGTTTACATTTCGCGAACTAAAGTACGGAGATCGCTGCCGTGCGGTTGTATTATTAACGTAGCGACGTATAAATTTACCTTTGTTAGAATGTTAGTGTAATAATTCACCAAAATGCGTTTTCCTCAACAAAAATGCGATTGTAACAATGTTTTGAAAATAACAAATCAGCTTATTTACCAACATTCTGTTTATAATCATGTAGCGTTAATTGCAAATTTATTGAAATACTTTGTGTGAAATAGAACATACTTTCATAGAAGTGCGCATTTTGTGTAATTATGAATTCAGAATTCCGATCTTACCTTTCGAAGGATACCAACTTCTCAATTACCAAGAAGAATACCAATAATTCTCATTGTTGAAACGCGTAGGTGGTTGAAAGTATTGTTTGAACGCGAAAAATTTCCCGCCGCTCTTTGATTGGGTGATTTCGTTAATACAATCGTAGATGTAAATATCAGGGCTCTGGTAAAAATACCTGTGATTGGTCGATATCAGCTTCAGTTTGATCTTGGTGCTCGTGCCAGCGGAAGAAGTAGTTCATTAACGTGATTTAACTTTTTTTCCTTAGTCTCGTGTTTTTGTCATCGTTTATGTGGTTGTTTGGTTGTATGAGCTATGAAAAATTATATGTGTGTATGAAATTTATGAAATGAAAGAGAAAAGAAATCGTCAGAATGTGCGCGCGAGTGATGCAATTTTCAAACGTCGCATGCTTCATGATTCCGTAAACACATCGTCATTAATGTCGGTAAAACGTACAGTGGTAAGTAAAGTTTTTTAATGATTCATAATATAGATTTTGAACAAAGTTATCTGGTGAGTGCATTTTATTTTATATTTGGTCATAAATGAAACAGTAAATTTGAACATTTTATGAATTATGCTGTAGAATGTTGTCATTGTTATTGGGGTTTAGTTGAGAAGGACCAAAAAGGCAACACATTTGTTTTTTTTATTCATTTTATTTTAAATTTTAATTTATCAATGCTGCATTCGTTTATGTGTTAAATGAGACAACACATCTTTGAATATAATGGTAGCAAAATATTTAACCAAAAGCAACAACCTCAGTTTGGATTTAATCAAATTAATGCCTAATACAATTATATTTTTCAAAACTTTGAAATACTTTGAGACTTATTATAAAGTTTATTATAAACTTGTTTCGACTTTCCAGTCAACTGAAGTTAACTTAATGTAAATTGATGTTTATAATAAAAAGTTGTCGTTTATTTTAAATGCCTAATTGTTATATGTGGTGGGTTTTTAATTCACCTGACCATTTAATGCAGTTTTGAATAATGAAAAATCAAATTTGAATCTTGGAAAAGGTAACCATGTCTAATTAATATAGGTAGACTGTTCAATAAAGGTCACTTAAATTGTATTTATATTTTGAATTTTTGGGACATTACCACACAATTACCAAAAATAAGCACTGTATGAAAAAGTGTATGCTCCAAACAGATGTTTTCAAACAAGTCGCTTTCTTACATACTTCATTCATATTTAAATTGTTATGCATCAAGATCGTTCAGTTGTAGGGAAAAGTGTTTCAGTTCCTAAGTCCCTGACATAAAACAACTATATCACAATAAACCAAGCACCCACAAAGTAATAAAAAAATTTCATTTAAGATAATTCACTTAAGAAAGGCTGGCCAAAAAAAATTCCAGTGCCACATCTTCCTCTATGGTTTGTCAAAACTACACATTATTATTCCCAATTGCTAATTATTGCTCTAACTAGTAAATCAGATGAATACAATATTTGTCACATTATCGCTGTTTTGAGAAATTACATTTTTATTGTCTTTCACATGTGTAAATATTGTGCTTTAGCACATGTTTCTCTTGTTGGAAACTCTATAAGACAAAATTTCTTTATTCAAGAATTTTAAAGTGAAACGAATGAACTAAAGACTGCTGAATCTTATGACAAAGACAGTGAATAGTCTGAAGATGGTATGTAAAAATAACAAATTTGTAAGAAATTTATAATGTACAAACTGACGAGTGGCGAACGTTTGACATTTTCTAAAGAAAAGAGTTCTACAAAATCAACATAGCCCGTTGATAGATGTCTTGAAAGCAGACTGGGATTTTTTCTCTGTAGAACAGAGCATGTACTCAATACTGCCAACAATTACAAGAGATACTATGTAGCTATGTACAAGCTTAAACCGTTAGCTACTTATATATGACCAACAGTGAGATATTAATTATAGTGCTACTTTCACGTTTTTTGCAAAGTTTTCATGTAGCTAATATTTTTCATTGTATGTTTAGCACACCTATCTAAAATTCACAGGCAACGTATGTAGTTCTGGGTATGTGGTTGTTGAGCAAAAACATGTTTAGATCACAACTTACGTTCATTCGTATGCAATATAAATTTCTTCATGACATGGTGTATGTTGAACTTTCATCTTTGAAAAATGTTGCTTAAAAAAGAGTGTCGCTATTTGTTGGCAACGTTAAAATTTAACTATTACGAATTTGCAATGAAAGTAAAATAATCACTCATATATTGATATATAGCTATTATTCCCATTTTAACTTAGGAAGAATTAGTATAAGAATTGTTTCACTATCGACGATGTAAGTTTTCTTTCAACGAAAAATTGTTCTTTATTCCATATTTGTAGAGATATTTACTGTAATCCATTACAGCTTTACCATGTCTCCTGCCATTAATGAGATAATCGCTATAAAACTTGAACAGATTTACTGAGGAGGGGTACAGGGGGGGGGCACGCAAACTTTAGATTTATCTCCTAAAAATATATTGCACACCCCTGTGGGAAACATTTTAACTTCCTCAATTTTTAGCGAAACAAATCAGTCGTACAGTTGAAGTGAGTATTTCTGGGCAATGTTTCAACTTTCTTTACTATCTTTGGTGGCTGCACTACCTAACCTCCCTTAAAATCTACACTTTTATTGTCGTCACTTCTTTACCAAATGACTATTAAATTAGCACTTTTAATTTCCAGTATTTTCTTGCGTGTAGCATTTACTGTGAAATAAAAAATTCTCTACAGAAGTCTTTTGCTAGATATTTTGGATTAATTCTTGTGAAACCAAAAATTCTTTTGTCAAATTGACTAATTTTCGTCAATTATTGAAAGAAATTATGTTAACTAGCGTGAGTTTATACACATGATATTTAATCATATAGTATTTCTAGTCACGCAGAGATCATATGACATTCTTCCTGAGATCAATACTTTCATTTTCTAGTCATCGTATTCATTGGAGAAGACGCCTTACGAAAATTTCGATAAAATTGTTCAAAGCATTTTCATCAAAAGGTAAATATCATGTATTAAGTATTTGTTGTTCGAATTTCAGTTACATAAGTAAAGTACATGGGAACGAACTCCTGAATTTGAATTCCAGTTTGTTACATATTGTTAAGATTATTTCCGTGAGCATTCGCTATCTATATGTTGCTAAAAGTTTCATAAATTGTATGAATGATTGTAAGAAATGCAAAATTACATGCGATCCCAAAGATTAGTCAATGTAAATCACCGTTAGTTCCTGCTTGTGATTAAGAGGTTAACTAAAAGCAGCTTCCACAAGATCGAAATATCTTCGAGTCTTCGACAGAAGATAAAAATCATTTAATAAACATTCGCTCCTAGAAATGTTGGGACATAACACTTCCCAAATTTGAATTTATTGTTACATGTTTCGTTGTACTAATCGCTGCAATGTTTGATGAATTTTTGATATTCGTTTTTTAAGTAACCATAGTTGATATATGTGATTCTACAGCTGTTTTGATGTGAAATGAACAAACGCGCGCTATGCATGATGGATATTGGCAAACTCTATTTCAAAAATCGAAAGAGTTTGTGAAAATATATCTGTTGAAATTCAATTTTAATCTTAAGGTGTCGACAGCAGTAGACTGCATTTTATTTTATCGCTTAGAGTCATCAGTCAACATATTTATTTGAGAAATGACAAAAAGCTATTCTCCTTAACGGCTGTCACTTATATTATGCACCGCGTCTGCGTCCGCAAAGAATGATGGGGTTTTGTTACGACATAATGACGCATTTGCACATGTGATATTGTATAGTTCGCAATCTCTTACTTCGTCATGATTATTCTCGTTAAACAGAAATTATGCTCGTTATTGACTTTAATGCATGGCTATAAGCACGGTACTTATTACGTAGTTGCAACTCTAGATGATTTGTCGTCGATGTTTATTGAAATTAAATGATATTTTGAATCAAAATTGACCAATTAATTTAGTTTGACGATTTTTTCTTCATACAGTGAATCATAAGCGCCGACGACGACGTTGATAACGTTGATCAACAAGACTTAGACAGTGTTTTATGTACTGAAGAAGGTAACATGTTTGAAATATTAAAGAATTTTTATTGAATTATCAACCTAAAGTTAGAGTCCAACAGATCGTTTCAAAGATAACTATAAGCGTTCTTTTTTTTAATATTTATTAAAACAAAGCAAGTGACGTTTGTCGTTTCGTCTCGACTCAAGACATCTTCAAATGAGATGTAATTACTTAGATAGTTAAGGTGTGAGGTTTGTGTGGATGTGTACTTACAGTGTAAAGCTGATATTGAGTATTTTAAATTATTGTAAGAAAGATTGTACAAGATATAAGGGTGGGGCGACGGGTAATGGGGGGAAATTACCATGAAAAGAGCTGAGGGGGACGTGTTTTTTCTCCCCTCCCCTTTCTCCCAAGTTTTCCTAAGACCAATTTAAGAGTTTTTAAGACTTGAAGAGAATAAAGGGAGTTAAAGATAGTTGCTTCCTGTAAAAGGGCACACAGAAAAGTAAAAGTAATAAACAGAAACTTTTGAGCATCGTAGTAAAGCCTAGGCCACATTATCGTCCATATCGACGAAAATTAGAACGAAAACTGCCGCAACGAAAATCTTGAACGAAAACTCAACGAAAAATTTCGTTCTCGTGCATATTAGAAGAGTTGAACTTTTGACCTTTTTCGTTATCGAAAACGCATGCAATTGGCTAATAATCTAAAACTTAACTACACAATTATGGCGGGGTGGCATGAGTTTTAATAGTCCGATGCGAGAAAAAACAATTTGTCGTCAATCGCAAGTATTTTATGAGTTAGTCCGTGATCTGTGACCGATTTTCTTTCATTCCCGTTGGACACCTTAAGAAAGGTTGTGAAAAATTCAAGACAGAACAACTTTTCATGCTTAACGCACTTTACTTCTTGTCATCTCCAAAAAGCTGCAGTTTTATTGCTATATTACATTAAAATTTTAAAATGTGTAGCTCATTACAATTTCGGAATCCGCCATTTTCCCCCTGACACTTCATGTTATTTATATTTTGTGTGCTAGTGCCAGACCTAATAGAGAGCTATTACGCACGATAATACTGGCAACATAAATAAAATGCCTGAAAGAAATACATATTTCACTCGTGCATTAGGTTGGATTTAGCAATTGTTGCGAAGATAATATTTTGAAAGTTATAATCGTATTGTGCAAGACAAGGCGCGCTTTTTTTAAAGGTCTGCCTCGAATTCGTCGTCAATGTCATCATCTAAAAACTCCTCTTCCTCAACATCATTGTCGTCATCAATATCTACATTCGTGTTTGCAGTACATGACCATACATCTATGTACTTCACTCCTGCTTTGTTACATGAACAACATTGGGAGTTACCGCCACGTTGCAGCCAGTCTTACAACCACAATGAACGTTATCAAGTAGGGAATTCGGCGCTAGGGGAATGGTCATCCATACGATTTCAGACTTGCAGTTTCCCGTCACTCGTTTGCCACCCATTTTCATCCGGAGGAGTAATATCCGTTTGTGGTTGTAAACAGAAAGGCCAAAGCGCGGCTTGGTACAAAAATGTAAGTTCCATAAACCTCCATTGCTAATCAAGAGTTAGTGTAAATATTGCTAAAGTCATTCTTATTGCATTCTGCATTCAACTGAGAGGTATTTTGCAAAAAGAAGTTAAAAATCTCAGTTAAGAAGCATAAAATCTCAAAACACCAAGCTAAAACTCAACATTATATGATTCTTAGAACAAACTTAGCTACTATTTGTTTACAATATGTCAGAAGTGGTAAACTTTTGTATTTTTCAACAATCTCTTTCATAGGTTGTGATGATTGTTAATCTTCAGTTAAGGCTTTATGCTCAAGATCATGTTTTACAGTTCAAGAAAGAATATTTTTTAGTGAGCCATTTCAGAAGCCAGAAAGCTGGGGTTTTTTGCTTGGGTTGAAACTTGTTGTATTGTAAATTTGTGTATTTCGTGCACGAATTTTCGTTTTGTTTTCGTTTTCGCGAATATAGACGATAGTGTGGCCTAGGCTTAAGTCTATGTAATTAGTCTGAGAAGTCTTGAGTCAAGACGAAACGTCGCTTGATTTTTTAAATAAATATTTAAAAAATCAAATGCTGATGACGATCTGTTGGGATCTTATCTTTATATTTAGAATTTGATTCACACCTGGCACCTCACTGGCAACATTGAAATTTTATAAATTCTTATTAATTGTTGTCCACTCATATTTACGATGTATTTGACATGTTTGACGTATTTTTTAGTTGCAACCGATTGTTGAAATTCATATTCCATTGGAATCCTACAGTGGCAGTACGGCCCTACAAACGAATGATTTGTCTCTTAATCAAGACAGTAAATATCAATATGCTGCCCTGTTGAAGTGTTAGAAATCCTACGTAGGTATTGGTTACCCCATAGGATTGGGGAAAATTGAAAAAACAACACAGTTGAGAGAACGTTGCTAAATCGACCAGCGTACAAGGTACGCAAAAACCTTTGGTGGAAATAAGTAGTTTGACTTCCAATGATTTATCTAATGTCAAATTTTCACATGTTTGTAGATGTAGATCGTCCAGGTTAGTAGAGTCATGAGAAGGACTGTTTTTGTTGTTGTTGACTGACGTTTTCACTTCCTTAGCAGTCTTCACCATTAAAGTCAAGTTGACTTTTTCAGGACTCTACTAACCATGACGATCCACATCTAGAAACATGCAACGATACGCCAGGGTTCAAACCATTTACGTTATTACAGTTGTTGTTGTTGACTAACGTTTTGACTTCCTTAGCAGTCGTCACCTTTAAAGTCAAATTGACTTTCTCAGGACTTTACTAACCATGACGATTTACATCTAGAAACATGTAACGATACGTCCGGGTTCAAACCATTTACGTTATTACAGTTATTGATGTTGACTAACGTTTTGACTTCCTTAGCAGTAGTCATCTTTAAAGTCAAGCTGACTTTCTCAGGACTCTACTAACCATGACGATCTACATCTAGAAACATGTAACGATACGCCTGGGTTCAAACCATTTACGTTATTACAGTTAAATTTTCGTAAATCATAATCGTTGTTAGAGTAAAAAATTTGTAACCGAGAAACTATTTTAAAATAGCTTGAGCTAAAAATGACACCAATAGATTGCTTTTGGACTGCATAAGGTTAAAATATGGCATATGTTGTTCAAACTTATAAAGTTTCAGTAAATTTGGACGATTCTTACGCGAACGTTCATCTTCCGAATCGTAGATTGATTTGTGTTTTTCCGTTTATATGACATTTTACATAAATCATCATCAATTTTTCTGTTTATAATGGTTCTTTTGGAAACTGAAATTTATACATAATTGAAGAGAGCTATAAAAAGTTATTCAAAAACGAAAACAAAATAATCTGTGATTTGGAAGCTAGTTGTTCGTGTGCGCTTGTGCCAAATTCCATTGCTTGAACAAAGCGTGACATATTTTAATCCTACGTGTTTCAATTGCTTTTAGCTTTGTCATTTTTGTGCGTGAGCTACTTCAAAAGCACTTCTCTGTAACACATTCCTCCTTCTAAAAAGGTTATTATTATAAAACAATTTTACTTAAAGGGGAACTCCACCCTCACATAATGTTGGTCTTAAAAGTTAAATTTTTATGCAAAGGTTACTATATTTTTAAATTTTTACATCAGCTATTTTTTTTTTTTTTGACAAAATCGCGTCTTCAAGTGCGCTATTTGAGCTGTTTTGAGGTTTAGCATCGTGGGCACATAATGCGTCAGCGGAAATATTGTGACGTCATATCGTCAAACCGATTTGGAGTTGTGTTTACAACAAAGTAAAATAATAACGCACAGCCTAGCACTAAAAACAAAACAATCGCTTATAATGCCTGGTTGGAAGAACCTCGACCTAATTCACCAATCGATAGTGAAATGGAAGACAATCCAGCAAACAATATTCGGCCATATCAGTTTGTGCCTGAATGGCCGGCTGATGAACACGAAGAAGCTCACCAGTTTGAGGACAGCGAAGAACAGGAATTTTTGTATATTGAGGATGAACCTCTGCGCGACAATCTTGAATGGTGAGTAATAAAATGTTATATTATTCTAGACCATTGTTTCGATCTCGAAAGAACGTTTTCAGTTTTTGAAGTTGACCACGTCTACACACACATAATACTTCAGATTTTAAAGTTTTTATTGTAAGATACAATCTTTATTGAAATTTTGACATTTACTTTTCAAGATACTTTCTTTTAACATATTCAGGTGTCAATGTGGTAACTGCCAAATAATGGACAATAACGAGGAATGTTTATGCTGCAAAGAGATTTCCAATATTTGTGGCAAAAATGTAGAGGCAGTAGAAACGAATGAGACCACCGAAGTCCCTTTGTGTATTACACAACATCCTGGTTTTGAGCCTATTTTTCTTAACAGGTGGGTTTTACAAACAGCTTGGTACCAGTACAAGCAGCAATATGATGGGCCCGAAGACAAACTGTACCGCCATATTGCATATAGACATTTGACAAGATGGTGCTGGGGTATCTTGGGTAGAGAAGTAAGAGTCGTCTTGCCATCATGTGCAGTGACTGGCATTAGAGAATTATTTCCTCCACCTGGCCCTGCAGAGGAATTTCAATTTGAAGGCTTCCACAATGCTGGTTTTGCTATGTTAATATTTAAGAATGAATGTACAAAAGTTGTCTTCACTGATTCAACATCATATTATATGGGCATGGCAAAACCTATTGCCATAGCTAACTTCACCACTGACTGATGTTCCTTTACAAGTACTTCTATCCTGGGTGGACATGATTTAGAAATGTTCTTTGGAAGATTCTCGCCATGATGTACAAGTTCAATCTCCTCAGTTTTGCATGCATTCACAACCTCGGCAAGTAGTATATCAACGTACTGGTATTCTTTCTTTTCTTTCATTGCATTTACAACCCATTGCTTCTTTGTTTTAGCAAAAATCATTTTGTAACGGTCTTGCCCTTTGTTTGTCCCTGACTTAATGACTGCTTTATCACGGTTAACATTGTTGTTGGGATCTAATCCTGCTAACTGAGTGCGGGCTACCATCCCAGGAAATGAAAAATGCTCTCGCTTTGGGCAGTATTTCAGTAAAAGGGAATGGTAAACCTCCAACTCTCGTGTGTGACAAAACTCAGATAGCTTCCACAGGTCTTTTAGAAGCCTCTTCTCACAAATCACCTTCTCTGCAGCAATATATGCTTGTTAAGTAGGAGATAACCACTTCTTCTGCTTGTTTGTCTTTCTGTTAATTGTTGGTAGCCACATTGATGAAAATATGTGTTCCCTCTCCAGAAATGCTTGTTGTTGGTCAAGGATAGACTTCCATTTTTCCACCAATTCTTCTGCATTCTTGTTACAACTTGCAGAGCACCACAAAGATGATTAGAAATGGACTTAATCCAATGGGTCAAGTCATCCTTTCCCTTAATGTTAGACTTCGTTGTTAGTTTTTTTGTGACAGACTTAGAAAAATGCCACACATCATATTGGTGATCAATATGGGGGTGTTTGTTTTTCATAGCACTGATAGTTTTTGCCCCAAATGTGACTTAAAAAAGGGAAATTATGTACAAATAATTAGGAAACTATAAGTTCATACTTTAAGTCAAGAAAACTACACCTAAATTTTATGCACGAAAGGCTAATTTTACAATGGTCTTATGTAGGATTATTTTCTAACCATAATGAATCTAGATTACACAACCATGTTTTATTATTATTCAATGTTATTCATGGCAATAGACCGGTTTCACATCATTAGAAACTGTTGTTAAGGTTGAATTCGGAGGACAAGCAAACGAAGCAAACGGCATTACAGCACAGTTTCCACACAAATAAACCTTCGTATTTTTTAAGAAATAATATTAATCGATATTTAAATTCTCTATGTATTGCGGAAACTGTGCGAAAAATGGCCTTTATGGATGTGAAACCGTTCTATTAAAACAGTATACAAATAACCAGCTCAATACTTGCATGTAAGCTATAAAAGTTGCTTGTGTATATACCTATGAATAAAAAATTCTGAAGTTTCGAAAAGAAACATTTTGTGATTAGGAGAAGTATTTTGACGCAAGTTTGTTATGACTCTGCCATGACTTTACATAATGCTTTGAGCAGCAATTGACGATATGACGTCAAATACAAGCCGCTGACATGTTTCTGCTCCCACGCACCGGATGCCCTAGCTGCAGCATTTCAACTCATTTTTTGTGAAAATATTGAATCAAACAAACAAAAAAATTGCCTCATATTTATTTTCACGGGACAGACAAAGTTTTAAGACCAACATTATGTGAGGGTGGAGTTCCCCTTTAACTATCAGATGAACCATTGGAAGTCCAACCACCTATATCCACTAAAATTTTGTAAATTTTAGCGAAGTTTTTCGTCACGGACTATTGTTTTGATACCGCTGCAAATACATCTCACAGTCACGGCCACCTGGTAAACGTTGATTGGTGGGGGAGGGTGTGTTGTTCATATATTCAATTGAGCCTGAATGAATTTTTTGAAAGCGAGTTGTTTAATTTCTTAAAGTGCCTATGAAACGAAAATTTTGCTATCTGAGTAATACTTTATTGAAGAGATATTTTAAAATGGCAATGATCATTCTAAACCAGTTTATGCATATCACTTTTAATTCTTAAGATAGTGAGGTTCTTGTTATGTCCGATATATCTAACTTGCGACGTCACATTGCATAATGAGAACTAAAATTATTAGGTATATTTACTGATACTTTACTTCACAACCATAGAGTTCATTTCTTTGTGACGGAGTTGAAGGTATAAAATGCTGCCTACTAGTATCAACCTAAAGTTGTCAGAAAACTGAAGAATATTTGAAACATTGTGGGAACTCATTATGTTATATGACGTCACAAGTTAAATAAATTGAAATAACAAAAACATCAAAATCACGAGGATATGCATTTACTGTTTTAGAAAGGTTCACTGTAATTTCAAAGGTTCTAGTCTTTGCAAATATAATTTAACTTGTAAATTATTTGTTGCATTGGCACTTTCAGTAAATTGCTTTCAAAACAAATCAGTTGGGCGCAATTAATAATGTGAATAACCCCCTTTCTGCCATTAGATAGCTTTAGCAAGAATACGACTACGACGAGTACGTAGTTTAACCGTGTAAGGGAATGCTACGAGTAAGTTTGTTGTCGTTGTCGCTTCGTCAAAATTTAGTTTTAGCTGTAAACAACAGAACGAGACTTTTTATTGTGTAAAACACCGAAGTTTGCGAAGCAGCTACGGCTCCATTTGTCAATAATGATATCAACGAATCGGTAATACTGATTTTGCAATAATATGGGACTTTTTAGAGTAAAAATCTTCACTATTTTAAGTTTCATCTACGATATATTTGTACTGTTTTTTTCTTTGTTTACCTTTCACTTTGCGTACGACATACATGAAAGTTTTTCAGGTCATATTTTCCTTTTAAATGTACATCTGCGTTCAAAAAAGGTTCTAAATAAAAGCCTGGATGCTCAAAAATAGTACTGTAAAATAATTTCTTACAGAATGAAGAAATGTATCTACTCTCTTTGCTTAAAACGACATCGTAGTCACATTGATGACGGCTACGTGTTTTTGTGTCGCAGCAATGTTTCGCGCCAAAATGACGTAGTTCGTACTCTTAGTTGTACTCGCAGTCTTTGCTAAAGCTCCCTATTAACTTTCTAGGGACAGCCCTACTCACATTTCACTGGGTAGACGTCAAAAGGTAGATAAATTGGAAATAACAAAAATGTCAAAATCACGAGAATATGCATTTACTGTTTTAGAAAGTACACTGTAATTTCAAAGGTTCTAGTCATTGCAGACATAATTTAACTTGCAAAATTTTCGTTGCATTTGCACTTTCAGTAAATTGCTTTAAAAAGAAATCAGTTGGACGCATTTAAACATGTGAATAAGCCCCCCCCCCTCCCATTAACTTTCTAGGGACAGCCCTACTCACAGTTCACAGGGCCTGCCCTAAAGTGATCCATTTGACAAATCTGGTTGTACTTGATTCTGTCATTTTTCTTTAAGCTTGTTTACGATGTATTCCACTATGACTTTCACGAGTTAATAGATTGGCTGTCTTTCACTACATACCGTTCTCGACTACATTTTCAAACAAACAAAAAACCTTTTTACTAGTTTCTATAATTTCTGACAGAGGAATCAAATCAAGTTGATGATGCCAATTCACTCCAGGAAACAAATCAAGATGAACTAAGTGGACTTGAATTAATAGACCTTGAGGTCAGCAATCTCTTTGAGGACAGCAGGCAGAATATGGACTGTCATCTTGATTTTATGTCGGTTCCTCTAGAACTTTGATGACTGTAATTTGTTATGGCAAGTCGAAGTACAATTTGTCTTTTTACAACCATTGAAATTTTTACAATGATCATAAATATTACATCCATATGAAACTGTTTAGCAAACGCAATAATTGGGGAGAACGTATTCATACATGCATGTTCTGCAGAATTAAATTCTTTTTGAAATCCATTGTTTTCTGCAGATTAAGACATGCATTCATAAATTTAAACCCTCCCCACTTCCTCATCACCGAGTTTGCTACGCCCCCGTTATGGAATAGACAGAGTAAATTAGAACATAAATAGAAAATTTTTATCATTAGTCCATAGTAAAATGTAGACTTACTCAAGTAAATTAATTAAGGCTCAAATATCGTCACGTCCAATATAATGCCAATGTCATTAATAGGAAAGTACATACAGGTTAGAGATATTATGGGGAAAAACAACTTTATATTTTTTATATCCAATAATGTCTAGTCAAATAAGGAGAGGCACCCTATCTGTTGTAACCAAATAAGTTTTTTGTTGTCAATAAGTTATTGGAATTGTCAAGGTTAGCCGAGAAGGTCAGTAAAAATTCAAAAAGTAACAAATTCAATAACCATTGCGAATAATCAAGCATTGTAACTGTACAATAATTTTATTCGTAAGTATGCTTAACATATTGGCCAATGGGCAATGTGTAAATTGGTTATATTCAACGAAATTTTTGTCCCTCTTTGTTTCTAAACACAGTAGATCGGAGATTCATCGTATATATTAATTACATTTTGCTTCTCCTAGCCCTGATAATTTTGTTATGTAATCAACATCTTGGTCCTTTGGGCTTTTAATTCTTGGAAAAAATGTTTTGAAAAAAAAACTTCTTCTAAGATTTTGCTATTTCCGTGAGCATGTAATATAATGACTTCAAAAAGGTTATCTATAAAATGGCCATTTTCAGCCTTCTAAAGTTCTGAATTTTCAAAGTTTTCTCATGATTTTGCCTCCTCAGATCGCCTCACTTTGGCTTTGTCAATGGGCCAATGGCTTTGCCAATGGGCCTAAAGACTTTGTACTAGAAATTAGTTTTTTCTAATACGAAGAGCTTTCTGTTCTATTATTTTCTTCCACATTCTAAATAGCCTTATGTCATTGTTGTGAGTTACATTAAGATCTGACGACGCATTTCACCAAAGTATTTGTATAATATAAAAAAAATTTTTTTACGTACGTCGTCATGGTTACAGCAATTGCCATGAGATTCGACTTTGGAAGTCAACAACAATATTTTTGAATTTTGATTTGAACGCTATAATTTTAAGTCGTTCGAAAGTAATTTGCTAAATTGGTGAGTAAACTATTTCCGTAAGTTCGAAGCCCAAAACTAAAACTGTAGACAAGACTTGGGCCTGTTTTATACGTCGCATTTTACATGAGGCAAATACATTTAAAAGATATTGAGGAATTTATCTTATTTTCTTTTGCCTCTAATGCATTCGGCTGATGTAAAATGCGACGTATGAAACAGGCCTTGGTATCTCATGATTCTCACTTGGCAGCACGCTAAAGCACGAAATTTTTTTTTTAAATCTTGTCAAAGCATGTCTGTGGTCATGACTCTTAAGGAAAATTTACTTCTTTAGACCAAGGTGAAAGTACGTAACACAACGTGGTCTTTACTCTTGAGGAAAGTTTACTTCTTTAGACCCAGGTGAAAGTACGTAACACAACGTGGTCTTGACTCTTGAGGAAAGTTTACTTCTTTAGACCCAGGTGAAAGTACATAACACAACTTGGTCATGACTCTTGAGGAAAGTTTACTTCTTTAGACCCAGGTGAAAGTACGTAACACAACATGGTCTTGACTCTTGAGGAAAGTTTACTTCTTTAGACCCAGGTGAAAGTACGTAACACAACTTGGTCTTGACTCTTGAGGAAAGTTTACTTCTTTAGACCCAGGTGAAAGTACGTAACACAACATGGTCTTGACTCTTGAGGAAAGTTTACTTTTAGACCCAGGTGAAAGTACGTAACACAACTTGGTCTTGACTCTTGAGCAAAGTTTACTTCTTTAGACCCAGGTGAAAGTACGTAACACAACTTGGTCTTGACTCTTAAGGAAAGTTTACTTCTTTAGACCCAGGTGAAAGTACGTAACACAACTTGGTCATGACTCTTGAGGAAAGTTTACTTCTTTAGACCCAGGTGAAAGTACGTAACACAACATGGTCTTGACTCTTGAGGAAAGTTTACTTCTTTAGACCCAGGTGAAAGTACGTAACACAACGTGGTCTTGACTCTTGAAGAAAGTTTACTTCTTTAGACCCAGGTGAAAGTACGTAACACAACATGGTCTTGACTCTTGAAGAAAGTTTACTTCTTTAGACCAAGGTGAAAGTACGTAACACAACTTGGTCTTGACTCTTGAGGAAAGTTTATTTCTTTAGACCAAGGTGAAAGTACGTAACACAACATGGTCTTGACTCTTGAAGAAAGCTTATTTCTTTAGACCTAGGCGAAATTTACGTAACACATTATGGTCATGACTCTTGAAGAAAGTTTACTTCTTTAGACCTAGGTGAAAGTACGTAACACAACATGGTCTTGACTCTTGAAGAAAGCTTATTTCTTTAGACCCAGGTGAAAGTTACGTAACACAACATGGTCTTGACTCTTGAAGAAAGTTTACTTCTTTAGACCTAGGTGAAAGTTACGTAACACAACATGGTCATGACTCTTGAAGAAAGTTTACTTCTTTAGACCAAGGTGAAAGTACGTAACACAACATGGTCTTGACTCTTGAAGAAAGTTTACTTCTTTAGACCTAGGTGAAAGTACGTAACACAACATGGTCATGACTCTTGAAGAAAGTTTACTTCTTTAGACCTAGGTGAAAGTTACGTAACACAACATGGTCTTGACTCTTGAAGAAAGTTTACTTCTTTAGACCAAGGTGAAAGTACGTAACACAACATGGTCATGACTCTTGAAGAAAGTTTACTTCTTTAGACCTAGGTGAAAGTACGTAACACAACATGGTCATGACTCTTGAAGAAAGTTTACTTCTTTAGACCAAGGTGAAAGTACGTAACACAACATGGTCATGACTCTTGAAGAAAGTTTACTTCTTTAGACCCAGGTGAAAGTACGTAACACAACATGGTCTTGACTCTTGAGGAAAGTTTACTTCTTTAGACCCAGGTGAAAGTACGTAACACAACGTGGTCATGACTCTTGAAGAAAGTTTACTTCTTTAGACCAAGGTGAAAGTACGTAACACAACATGGTCATGACTCTTGAAGAAAGTTTACTTCTTTAGACCAAGGTCAAAGTACGTAACACAACTTGGTCATGACTCTTGAGGAAAGTTTATTTCTTTAGACCAAGGTGAAAGTACGTAACACAACGTGGTCATGACTCTTGAAGAAAGCTTATTTCTTTAGACCTAGGCGAAATTTACGTAACACATTATGGTCATGACTCTTGAAGAAAGTTTACTTCTTTAGACCTAGGTGAAAGTACGTAACACAACATGGTCATGACTCTTGAAGAAAGCTTATTTCTTTAGACCTAGGTGAAAGTTACGTAACACAACATGGTCATGACTCTTGAAGAAAGTTTACTTCTTTAGACCTAGGTGAAAGTTACGTAACACAACATGGTCATGACTCTTGAAGAAAGTTTACTTCTTTAGACCAAGGTGAAAGTACGTAACACAACATGGTCATGACTCTTGAAGAAAGTTTACTTCTTTAGACCTAGGTGAAAGTACGTAACACAACATGGTCATGACTCTTGAAGAAAGTTTACTTCTTTAGACCTAGGTGAAAGTTACGTAACACAACATGGTCATGACTCTTGAAGAAAGTTTACTTCTTTAGACCAAGGTGAAAGTACGTAACACAACATGGTCATGACTCTTGAAGAAAGTTTACTTTTTAGACCTAGGTGAAAGTACGTAACACAACATGGTCATGACTCTTGAAGAAAGTTTACTTCTTTAGACCAAGGTGAAAGTACGTAACACAACATGGTCATGACTCTTGAAGAAAGTTTACTTCTTTAGACCAAGGTGAAAGTACGTAACACAACATGGTCATGACTCTTGATGAAAGCTTATTTCTTTAGACCTAGGTGAAAGTACATATCATAACATTCTCTCTCTTGACTGACCAAGTTTTATGATAAAAAAATGGTGTGCACTTTTTAAGAAATAATCAAAACTAAACGGATAAGTAACGAAGAAGTTGTAGAATCAAAATTATTTTTATTGATTTTAAAAAGTTCCATGACTTTTTGATAAATTATGTAGTTTCAGTATATATTAGGTTTTCAATAGTAGTAAATTCAAAAGTCTAAATGTAAGTCAAGTGTAAGTTGCCAAATTCTTTGTAATTTTATTATTCTTGCATTAGTTTTGCAAATTCAGATTCAAATTCTGAACAACTCCATAATTCGTACTAAAGCAGCAGAAAGTGAAACGTTTTCACAAGTTATGTGTTTTAAGCTGTGAACAAGCGGTTTATTGGTCTGTATCTAAGATACCGCGAAGCAGGAGAGTCGGGAGGGGAACATACCATCACTTCTTATATTATCAAGCAATGAATTGAGTAAAATTCAGCGTTCTTTTGAATAGTGTATACATTTGTGCTTTTGCCCCCCCCCCGTCTCTTCTCTTTAACAAGCTTTCCTCAAGAAGGAGTGCGTTGTTATGTCACTTTCAAACGCAGAAATTTACATTAACCGAATGCATTAAAATAAAAGAATTGAGATAAAATTCCATGTCATCTATTGTTTTAAATGGTTTTACTGTATGTAAAGTTCAGATATTTGAATCTTAGGTAGCGCGCTATCTGTCTGAAGTAAATGCAAACACTTGAGTAACAAAGTTTGAATGAATAAGAATAAATCAGTGTAGCTTGTTCCCAATGCGACTTTAAACGCAGCAGGATTAAGGGATTGTTCACATGAGCCAAGTAGCCGGGATTCAGCGAAGCGTTAAATCATTTTGGCAAATGAAAAAGATTAAATACTTCACAATAAAAACCTTATTTGAGCAATTTCTCTATGCTCTGACTTTGTAAATTCACAAAACCTTTAAAAATGAAAACAAATAATTTAGTCTGACTTGAAAATTGAAAGTAAAATGACTTATGACGCTTAAGAAAAGGTTGTAAGTTTTGCACTTGAACTTTTTACTCCTTTTACTTCCTCAAAATAATTTCACGCTTCGCTGAATCCCGGTTACTCGGGCTCATGTGAACAGCCCAGAACTAAAAGTTTTTTATGGCTACCTGCAAAAAGAACAAATATACAGGTATGAATTATAATCTGTAGAACCAACGTAATTAATCCTGTCGTAGCATAAAACCACAGTATATAGAACATACATTAGAGCCACTCGTATCTCACTGCACATGTGATTATCATAGTGGCAGCCAGTCAATTGCTTTTTTTGACAAATAGTTGCACTGAGCTGGAAAATGACAGGCAGTAATTTAAATACAGAGCAGCAAGTTGCACAGCAAAGTGGTTCTACTTTATATTCCCTATACTGTGATAAAACAATGGAACA